ACAACGAAAAAAAAATATTTTAGTGGGTGCAGGACCTCACTGATCCATGAGAGAAAGGGATGAGATTATTTAGCCTAGAAAGAAGGGCAAAACATATAAAGAAACTCCAAGTCCTTCATATTGTTCTTTTAAAATAGTTTATAATCCCATAAACTATGAATCGAACCCAAAAAAAACCGAGGTGGAATTCGCAAAACTACAATTTTAGAGGCTCGACGCGTACTTCGCTTTAGCAAAGCTAGTCCTTTTGCTTCCTCTAGGGATATAAGAGAGGGAATTGGCATATGAATCAGTTATGTGACTATTCGTCGGGGACTTATTAAAAAAAATTTTAGATTCGCGAAGTCCATGGAAGATGTCACTGCTAGGTTAAATGCATATCAAGGCCAGATTGGAGTTCGCCAATAGCCACTTGAACTGCCACTATTCAAATGGCGTAATATCCATTGGACAAATGAATCCAAACTGGTTTTATTTGGTGGAATAGGACAAGACAATATGTTCGGCGACCTCCAAATACTTAGTACCACCCAAACCATACACTGAAGACAGTAAAGCACGGTGGCTTAAAAATAATGGTATGGGTATACTTTTCATACAACGTTGTAGGTCCCGTATATATGATCGATGGGATCATAGACCATTATGTTTATGTCCAAATATTAAAAACTGTCTTGCATCCGTATCCTGAGGAAAATATGCCATTAATTCGGACATTTCAGCAGGACAGTGACCCTAATCATACCAGCAAGGTGGCCAAGGAGTGGGTTCCTAAAGAAAAAGTGGATGCAATGCCATGGCCTGCACAGTATCCGGATATAAATCCGATCGAAAACTTATGGGGGACATCAAGGGCTACGTATTATAGAAGTTTCCGACTTCTAAGCCGCAGCTTTGACAATTTGTGCAGGAGGAATGCGGCCATATTCCCCTTAAGCTTTGCTAAGGCTTGGTGGACTCCATGCCACCCAGGTATGAGGCTGTAATAGCTTCTAAAGGCTACTTAACAAAATATTAGATCATAGTCAATTAGTATTTCAGAAGAAATAGGTTTCATATACGATTTTTTTAAATTTACGAAGAATTTTAGTTTTTGACTGCTATTTCAATGAACAGCGTAATATAGACCTTTTTTTTGTTGTTTTTAGCTATATCTTCTAAAAGGTTTATGTTACTTAAATTAAATGATTGTGGTATTGTTAATAATTAAATACACTAAGCCTTTATGAAACATTTTTTTTATGAAAATAGTGTTTGTAACAGTATTTTCCAATCTTAAACGTGCAGCTCGTGGGCACTGCTATGAACACAGGTGTATATATATATATATATACATATATATATGTGTGTATATAGTATATAGGGTAGGGTGGGGCAAATCCGACCTAATAATGGTTTTGGCTATAAAATTATTATTTTATATCGGATCAAGTCGTTATATATACCAAATTAAAGGTTAAACTTTTGCGCAACTTTCTATGCATAGCATTTTATTCATACCTTTGAAAAATTTTGAGATACAAGCGTTTTACGAAAAAGTTCATTTTTGCTATTTTCAAAAATGATAATGTAAACCCGACCGCCTATGTTTTTGGTTGATTTAGTACAGATTTAACCTAAATATAGGTTTAGCAATGATAAATCAATCAATGTTATGTTATATAATGGTAATAAAAGACAATAGAATTAAAAAAATGAAAATAGCAAAATAATTAATCAGTATCATCTGATTCGCTGCTCAAATAGCTTGCTGGCGTTATTTTGGTTCGAGTTGAACATCTGGTTGCCTGCGATGTTGATGGTTTTGGTGTGATTGATTAAAAAACATTCAAAATTTAAAAAACATTCAAAATTAAATGAAGTAGGCGGTCGGATTTACCCCACTATTTAGAGGTCAGATTTGCCCCACCACGTAATTTTTCATAACAACGCAATTAAACAAAAATTATGAAAAAAAATTAACCAAACTTATATGCACTTTGTAGGACTTTATTCAAAGAATCTAAATCCACTTACCTTTTTCATGCGATCACTTTGACAAAAAGAAATATCCTGCAGTGCACAAAAATAAATGTCAAAATTGTCAAAACAAACTTGTTGTCGTTTGAGCATCTCAATGTTGACGAATAAAATGCTGTCATGCCACCATTTTGATTGTTTTCGATGCTCTCGAAAACAGGCAAGTGCTGTAAAGAAATTCGTACATGGTCGGAACTTCCTATTTATTGGAACCATCTTTCCGCTATTCAGTTGGTCTCCAAAAGACTTTCGGATAGTGACTATTTAGTAGATCTTGGGATTTTAGCATCGCAGGGGCTATTTGGTCCCTAAATAATTTCGCATAATTATCACCACAACATATCATGATTTTATTGCTGGCTTGTTTGACATTTCGCTGTCCCAAGTCAACCATATACGAAATTTTATAGAGCGCTTGCTTGATCTTTGTTTTGTCTCTGATCCGGCAAGAGTTAGATTAGCTAGCGTGGCAACCCTGAAGCAACCCGAAGATCCCTATCATGCTACTGTCGATGTGACTATTGACAGAGAGAGACTGTTTTACTGATTATATCTGATAGTCCAGCCCAAAAAGTCCTCTGCTTTCAGAAGACGGGCTTCGTACGGCTGAATAATTTTATAATTGATTATAATTGGTCTGATCTATGCATATGCACTGACATGGCTAAAGCCGTGGATATTCTTTACAGTGCTATGAATTTATTCGTCAACATCGAATAAGCTTCCTTGGTCTACTAATGAGGTGAGTTGCCTCAAAAACAAAAAATACAATTTGTATGATAAATATAAACGTAGCGGTTCTCAGACTGTCCTATCCAGCTATTTATCAGCTCTGTCAATTTTTAACGTGCAGAACGCGCAGTGTTACGGTAATTATTATTATTATAATTATTTAACTTGTTGCAGGGCCCAGTTTTTTGAGGATCCAAAACAGTTTTCTTATTTTGTTAAAACTAAACGTGAACTCATTACTCATCCTTGTTCGCTCTCTTTTGAAAACTCAACAGTAGATTAACAATTGGATGTGGAAATTGCCGATCTGTTTGTTTAGTTTTTCAAACAACTTACTCAAACTGAACACAATCAAATCAAACTTATTTTTACATCATCTCCAAATCGAACCAAAATTCAGTCCTACCTTAAATGAATGCTCTTTTCATCTGCATCGTGTTAAGCCATTTTATTTTGCCAGGTCCCGACGGAATACTTGGCTGTGGGCTTAGGCATTATGCCGACGCCCTGTGCAATCCCCTTCTGAAAATGTTTACCTTATCCCTAGAAACCTGCCACTTTTTCTTTATAAGGAAGGAATCATTTGTTATTCTTCTCCACAAAAAAGGGAGCAAATTGAAGGCCAACAATTTTAGAGGAGTCTCTGAGTAGTCGGCCATCCCAAAATTTTTCGAAAATGTCATTACTCCCTATTTGCTGTGTAGGTCATTATTTCTCTATGTCAACATGGTTTTATTTAAAGAAGATCAATAACAACCAATCTTTTCGAGCTGACTTCCTTTATTATAAAGGGCTACCGAAATAACTTCCAGATAGGTGTAATCTATACTGATTTCAGTAAAGCATTAGACTCTTAACTATTCTCTTCTTGGTCAGAAACTCGATTTAATAAGATTTTCTATTGATCTTCTTAGATGGATCTCAAATTATCTGAATGGGAGGACACAAAAGGCCCTTTATAAAAACAACTTATCTAATGTTCTTAGGGTGTCCTGTTTTACGACCTGCCCAAAGATCTAACCAACTTAACCAACAATAAACAGATCTTAGTATGTTAATTTTCAAACATGGTGCCGAGTAAACTTAAACTGTTCTAAATGCAGGCTAATGACATTATCTCTCAATATATATATAATTATATATAATTATATTTACAATATACAGGCTTACATCAAAGCTTCACATTTTTCTTTACCGATCGTCCGATTTTCATAAAATTTAAACCGAAAATATGAAATAATAGAAAATGGTTGTCTCAGAGTAGATAAATGTATGTTAAATGCAACATATTATCTAGTTTTAAGTTATAATTTTTATCGTAAGAATTACATATTACTTATACAATTTCATATTTTGGAACACATTTGTCGTTTGTTAGTATTCTAGCTATGACACATCATTTAATATTAATAAAATTAAAATTAAACGTTAAAAATCATTAAAACCAAATATATGTTATGTGGCAACGACTGCGTCTCGACGGAGCGCTAATCTGCGTTTGTTATGGTTCAGGGCATATAAATATAGAATATGTAAATTCCAGTCAAATTGGTAAATTGGTCACACATTTTAATGAGAAAATATTTTTATGGTTATCGATCGCAGACTTAATTGTCGGCTAACATTACTCTTAGAAAACATAACTTTTGTACAATTTCGTCAAGAAGATAATTGCTCGCAGCTGCCGCCAGCCATCTATTGATAAGATTGCATCTGGACGCTGCCCATCTACCTAAATAAACTCGGGAAACTCGCGATACCCGGGTCACGCAGGTCCGCGCACACATGTGTGATTACGGGTCATAAACAAGGATCCCGCGATCGGTCACGTTCTTCACACCATTTGCATGCAGACGTCACAGGAATTAGTTATCTAAGTAGTTCCCATGGCTGTATCCAGCTGTTTATATTTTTATAGGATAAACCCATGTAACCCAAAAGTAGACCTAAGTAAATACCCTTTGACCCGAAAACATGTATATAAACCCCATGCAGTATCCAATAAAATCAGTACGAAAAGAACTCTTTGCGTATTCACTTCTCCGCAGCCCAATTTGTATTGTACTTATTGCGGCGACCATTGCCACTGGTACTGAACCTGAGGCACGCAACTAAAACCTATTTCAGCATTAGGATTTATCCTGAATCCGCACAACTTTAATGAACAGATTTAAAAACATAACGAATAAAACCATAAGGAAATAAGTAAATAAATAAAGAACAATATATATATTTTTTTTGTCTTTCAGTCCAGCAGAAACCAGTTTGCTTATTAAAATTTTAGGAAAAGGATTGGTAAACACAAAGTTGTCTCTTGACATTCAGCAAAAGAACCCAAATTCACCTTTGCACTCCGTTAAAACATTTGAAGCCCTCCACTTGTAAGTAAATATAATTTATTGCCTTAAATTTACACGTACTATATATAAATTTACATTATTCTTATAATTTTGATTATAGGAAGCCAGAGCTTTTAAAGGGCATTTACGCCATGGGATTTAACACACCTTCTAAAATTCAAGAAACGGCGTTACCAACATTACTTGCGGATCCCCCTCAAAATATGATTGCACAAAGTCAGTCCGGTACAGGGAAAACAGCTGCATTTGTCTTGGCTATGCTTAGCAGAGTTAATGTTAATTTGAATTATCCACAGGTACTTATTTAATAAGAAACCAGAAAACGCAGTCTGCAGATTTAAGTAAGATTGGATTAGAAACATGAGTGTTGTTAGACAATAAAGTAAAGTTGGACAATATGCTATCTTGCTCTTGCTCGCAGTAGTACCATATATGTCCTTTAACTTAATACAAAATACTTTCGTTTCCGGAATTCTAGAAGTAGACCACATTCGTCACATCACCGTTAGTCGATCACAATTTTTGTATAATTTATTTATCGACACGCTCTAAAAACCCTAATTCCTAATCTCCATAACCTATACAGGTAATATATGAATCTCTGTAAAGCTCTTTAATCTAATCTTAAATCTAATTTGTTTAAACTACTAAAGACATATCAGTCTCAAACAATATTTTATATATATATCAATTAGTTTTATTTTACTTTATTTTATTACTTTATGTATATAAAATTCCTCTGACACGCTATAAGCAAACATAATCCCATATCTTGACTTTCAAAGTCGTTTTTTTTTGCGGATTTCCCTAACCTGTTCTAGTGTTCACATCCGAAAAATTCTTACGGATTCGTATTTCCCTCTGTTAAGTTTCTGTTGATTTCCGAGAGAAACGCTCGAAAACTTTACGACTGCCATTGGGCCGGCGGATTCCAATCCGCAAAAAAATTAATTTTTTTTTTTAATATAATGCGATTAAGATAATTGCATGTATATTTGTGTTTCATTCTCTGATGTTTTGCGTTCTTAGGGAGACAAGGACGTTTTCTGCTCTTTCACTAGCCAGTCCGACGCCTTCCTTTGCAGGTCCGCCTACGGTCTCGTTACCGTCCATGCCTTGGTGGCTGGGAACCCAATAGACTCCCTGCTTGCCAGTACATTTTTTGAACTGACCGCTGATGATTGGATGGATCTTATCGCCGCTTGACCTCATAAGGACGGTTTATGCTCTACGCAAGCTCTGCTGCTTTCCTGATGCCGAATACTCCAGCCTGGAATATACTGCAATGGCTTGGTAGCTTATATGACAGCCTCATTTCAGGGTCTGAACAGTATATGCCCGCTCCAACTCCTCCATCCATCTTGTGGAGCCGTCGGTGTATATATTGAGGTATTGAGCATGGTCCTGGCCTGACTTCCAGTCATATGGTCTCATGAATACTGTTGGGTTTACATCCAGGCACGTTCTGGGTATCATGTAGTCAGATGTACTACTCATGTCTCGACCAATTGAACTGTGGCCAAATCGTTGTAGCGACCAGTTTCCTGATGCAACCAGACGTTGTGCCGCCTTTCCTGCAGTCATTTGCGCTTGGATATTTAGGGGATATATACCGATTATGGTTTCGAGTGCTTTGGTGGGGGTTGACCTCAGGGCCCTGATATGCAGAGCAGTGCCTGCCGCTGGGTTCTCTCCATAAGCTTATTATAAGTTTTCTTCTCCATGGCTTTGCCACCATACTAAGACTCCATACAGCAGAGTCGGACGCACCACCGATATGTAGACCCAATGCAATAGAGAGGATGAGAGGCCCCATGTGCTGCTAAGCATCTTCTTGGATTCATATAACGCAATGGTGGCCTTTTTTACCCTCTCTACTACATTGGCCTTCCACGTCAGTTTGCTGTCAAGTACAATGCCGAGGTTTTTGACTTGTGTTTTCGGGGGCCAATTTTTGGGGGATCCATTGCGGCACCTTGTATATCTTGGTGAAGAGATTGAGCTAAGTCCTATCCGTCTTGATATTGAGTCCTACCTTTTCCGCCCACTCACATATCTCCCTGAGCGTTGTTTCTAAGATCGAGCTGAGGGTCGATGGACAGACTCCCGTGATAATTATGCTTATGTCATCCGCGTAAGCTGTCTTTGGTGCTTTCCTCTCGAATCTTTTGATTATGTCGTCTACCACCAGATTCCATAGAAGGGGCGATAGGACTCAACATGAAGGCGGTGCCCCAATCTGATGGTACCCACCGGCAACCCAGAAGATTTCATATCCACAGGTTGATGGCGAGGAGCGCGGATTCAATTATGCCCGCAGATTCAATTATGCTATACTTAAGATAATTGAAAGAACAAAGCTGCCCCATAGGCAGTGGTGCGCGTTGGCGTCTGCACCCACGAGCAGTTGCTGGTCCTTCGGTGGGGCCGTCCTCTTGTGTGCCATGCTACCAAAAGGCGCTTTTTTCCGTGAGGTCATCAGAGCTGTAATGGGACTTGTACCCTTCCGTACAAGTACGGCGGTTCTATTCCTGCTTACCGTTGGTGGATGGAGCATATTGTAATTTGCGGACTTCAGTCCGACGATGGCATTGCTTGAGGCTCCTGGACCAAAGCTATGTCGGTGGATCCTTGCTCCATGACTATGTGGAGTTCCACCCACGCGACCTTGCTCTTATGGATGTTGAGCTGCAGCACCCTGAGTGTCATTGGTACTGGGCTCACCTCTGCGGTCAGGTCACCGTCCTCTCCTTCGTCGCATTCATCCAGCGTCATTCCCTGGGCGGCGTCCACAATGGTTTCCAGACCTAGGTCCTTCTCCTTTGAGGCGCAGGTACTCGCGACCCATTCCCCACGCCATCTTCCCGTATCTGGGATAGAGGATGTCCTCTGCCTCTTTGTTTATCTGGAGGACTGCACTTTGCCCCCCCTCCTTTGGTGATGGGGCCGAACCTTCCAGTCCGCGGTTGGTATGTCCAGATTCTGACGCTGCAGCAGCTTCAGCGCCCGGTCGCCTTGGATTGCGATAGGGAAGAGTACCTTCACCTTTGGAATGGATGCGAATAGCTCCCTGTCCACCACCTCCAGCTTGGCCGCCTCCAACTGGTAGCCGAGGGGCGCAGCCGTGTGACGTACGGCACGAATCGCGAACTAGATAGACGGGTTAGAATGAAAATTAGACTACGGTGCTACACTACGAGCTAACTCTACAAGTAATAAAGTTTTTAATATAGAAGGGTTATCACTACGAATAATAATAACAGAGAGGCGGTTGTAATCCGTAAATAAAACCCTAAAGGGTTCATGTGCTTCAAACTCCCGCCTACAATGATTTATTACTAAGGGGATATGGGTTCTAGATGTTAGACGTGGAACGTGGGCAGCCTAGGAGATAGGGGCTCTCAACATCACCGTTTATTAAGTTGTTAAGAAATACGAGGCCAAGCATCGTTCTACGGTTAGCTAGGGAGGTTAAAGTAATTAATAGAAGTCTACTAGAATAGGACGGTACCCTCTCATCAGCATACCAGGGTAGTCCACGGAGGGCGAAAAGTAAAAAGTTCTTTTGTACAGATTCAATACGGTTAATATGGACTCCGAATTGAGGACTCCAGACGCATGAACCATACTCCAATATAGGGCGTACTAACGAAGTAAAAAAGGTCTTCGTTATATAAGGAAAATCGAATTCCTTCGACCACCTTTTAATAAAACCGAGCATCAGAGTTCGCTGCGAGGAAGGATATAGATTGGGTTTACGTTTAGTATTAACAAAGTTATAAAACTGTTTCGGGTCTTGCGTGAACTGAACCTTACAGCGAGTTAAATAACTTTTATAACACTGCGCGTTTAGCACGGTAAAATTCGACCGAGCAATAAGATATCTTGAATGAACATTAGGAGAACCGGTACGTTTATAACGATTATAAAGCCTAGACTTAACCAAGGTGGTTTACTAGAAACCGACGGATAGATTAACGGAACACACGATGCAAAGAACGCATTCCACGGCGGACGCCATGTCAGTGCACATATAAAGATCAGACCAATTAAATTCAGATATTAAGATATCTAGCCTTTGAAAGTTTTCTTTACGAAAGCAGCGAACTTTAGTGGCTGAGCGACTCAGATCAGGTTTGGTCTTTAAGGGGGGACATCTGAGTAACTGGCCAAAAAAAAAACGATTTTCAAGAATTTTTTTTGGCCAAATGAAAAAAGCAAATCGAAAAATTTTAAAGTAGGTTTTATAATGTTATATGTGAAGTACAAAATACATTTTTTTGGAATAAATCGAAAACAAAATGGCGGCTGTGCAGCATTTCTTCGTAGGCCCTATTTTTTTGAAAGGGGTCCATGGCCGGAAACCTAACGTCCTTAATTTTTGATCTAGAACAAAAAATTAAATTTTGTTAGTTTCTGTATCTCAACCGCTATCGACACACGTAGGATTTTTTCGATATTTTGATTTTTAGCAAAATGGTGAGTGATTAATTAAAATGTTTAATTTTCATGAAAAAAAAAACGTCACAAAATTGTTGATAAAAAAAAAAGTAAGCAAAAAAAAAAAATATCTACGTGTGTCGATAGCCATAGGTATTTTGAATATACTGTCAAAATTTCAGATAGATCGGTTAAGATTTGTTCGAGTTAGGTTTCCGGCCAACTCAAAAAAAGTGGTTTTGAGAAAAACGCGTTTAAAGTTTTAAAATCGTATATATTTACATGAGAGGCATCGCCGCAGAATGGAAAATTTCGACACTTAGACACATTTGCCGGACTCTATCTTTTGGTATGTTATTTTTAAGACCCTAAAGAATTTAAGCAAAAAAAAAATTTTTCGATTTTTAAAAAAAGTAACTCAGATGTCCCCCCTTAAGACAGTCCCCAAATCGATGGTCACTTCGAAAGTAGGATGGTAAGGGTCTTCAGGAAGCGTCAATGGATCAACTCTTGTTTAGTTTACACCTACAGAATCGGAGACGAAACACAGATCTAGTAAGCGATTTAAAGAATTTAAGACATGGTTAACTTGGGACAAAGAAATGTCGAGCAAGCCATCGATGACGTTCCATCTGATGACCAACGAGCTCCAGGTATATTGAAGTCTTCTAGAGGTATTAGTTGGTACTATCTGAAAACATGTTGGAAACAGCCTGAATTGCCGAAAGGTGTTTCAAATAAATAGGCTCTTCAGCAGATGAGAATTACACCTACAGAATCGGAGACGAAACACAGATCTAGTAAGCGATTTAAAGAATTTAAGACATGGTTAACTTGGGACAAAGAAATGTCGAGC